TTTTTTCGCTAATTTTAATTTATGAAAAAAAAACACCTTTGCTTCCGAATCATTGAGGTCGATATTAAAAATTGGAGTTGCAAGAAATATTATCAAAATTTCTAAATTTAATTTAATTAATAACTGTTTTATTTTAATTTAAATAACATTCACTTTTTTAAATATTTGCCTGAATCGTGAATTTTTTTTAAAAATTATGCATTTTGTTTAAGCGAAGCGTTGCAAATAAATCACTAAAAAATGCCATTTGTTGAATGAATTTAATTAATTAGAAAAACAACATATCGATATAAAATTTTTATATTACATACATATATAATTTTTCGGTTTATTTATGAAACAAACAAACAAAACAAAAACGAGTCGTATAGAAAATTAAAAAATTAAAAATATCGTACACGAGAAAAACTCAATTATGCGTGTTATTTATATTCTTATTCAAATTATTATAATAAATTCTAGAAATCAAATTATGTGAAGGAGTAAAATAAATATATAAATGAATCAATTAAAATGGCTTTTTTTATTCAAAATATTCTAAGTAAAAAAGAAAAACACAAAACAAAAAACAAAAAGCAAAGAACAAATTGAAAAATCAATGCAAAACGTAAATAAATCCAAATATAATAACAAAAATATAATTATATATACACATGCATACATACATACATGCATACAACCAAACAAACATCAAGTACGAAAGCAAGTATTAATGTGTGCGAAAAATAACGAAATATATAAATAAAGAATATAATTTGTTAAAAATCTTGCCAAACTAAACTAAACAAGAAATAAAAATAACTAAACATACACATCTAATGTATAAATATAAAGTAAATACAATAACTGCTGCAAACAATTATTATTGATAAATATTTAATTACCAAATAAAACGCGCATAGATACAATTTCAAATTTTATTTACTTTCAAACGAAAAGAGGAAATCAAATTCAATCAAAATAAATTAAAATACAAACACACTATAATACAGAAACAATATGCATACACATACATATACATATACAAATAAGAAGCGAACCAAGAATATTGTAATTATTTTATAAATACTAAAGTAAAATTAAAAATAATAATAAAAATAACGCATTTCTACTTATAATGAGCTTTGCTTCATGTTGTCAAATCAAAAGCACAAAAACTTAAAAAAAAGTACACAAAATACGAAACAAATGCGTTTCAATTCAATAAAAAGTTTAGACTAAATAAAAGTTGGCTTCTATTTACTATTTTGCTTCTAAGTATTGTGATGCCCGCGTAGCCAAGAATTTGTAATTATTATAATTTTTTCTACTTTTTGTTAATTAGGCATTTCGATTTCACGTTACAAATAAATTTTTTTTAAGCAATATAAATGTATTAAATGGCAGCGAAAAAGTCGTGAGAGTTTTAAAAGTCAATATTTTCAGTGAGTTTGTTTTCAAAACTCTAAGTCCCAAAAAAAATAAGTAAAAGAAAATAATATTAAGTAATTTATATTTAATTGGAAATAATATAATCTCTCGGAAAAAGTATTTTCCAACAAGTCATAAAAAACATCAATTTGTATTTTATTTTAATTTAATTTACTGTGTTTTTTTACATTTTTTAGATTTAAGTTTACATTATATTATATTATTAACTATATTTTTAATGATATTCTACTTTAATTTAGTTTAGTTTTATTTTACTTTAATTTAATAATTTTAATATTTTTTTATTTAATTTATTTCATTTATTAATTAATTCATTTAATTAAATTTTAATTTTTTTAAATTTTTATTTTGATTTAATTATTGCTTTTAAGGTCGACGGTCGAAATGTATTGTTCACAAACATAAAAAAATATCAAAATCAAGTATGTGATGAGATATATTTGTATTATAGGCTCCCTGAAGAAGCTATGAGTGGTCTCCAAAAAAAGTGGTAAAAAAAGAAATAAATGCCCTTAAAGGTTAAAATATTATATATCACCTAAAAATACATATACATTGGCACAAAATACAAATCAGAGTTATGTTTTTTTTATTTATTGTATTGTATTTTATTTATGTTTGGTCTTTAATTTCTATTTCTCACTTAATTTTTGTTTTTAATATTTTATTTTAGTTTTCTTAACTGTTTTTATATTATTTTGCTTCATTTCATTTTATTTTATGCTATATTATTTTATTTTATTTAACTTCATTTTATTGTATTTTGTGTTTTTCCTCTATTTAAATTACATAATTTTTATTTTATTTATTTTTTTTTTATTTTATTTTATTTATTTTATTTTTTTTTTTTTAATTTTATTTTATATATTTTATTTTATTTCATTTTATTTTTTTTACTTTATTTTATTTTATTTTATTTTATTTTATTTTATTTTATTTTATTTTATTTTATTTTATTTTATTTTACTTTATTTTATTTTATTTTATTTTAGTTTATATCATTTTATATTATGTTATTTTATTTTGTAGACATTTTTTTATTATATTTGATTTTAGTTTTAATAATTTCAATTTTTGTTATTTTTTTTAATTAACTGATTTTATTTTAATTAAAATTAAATTTTTATTTCTATTTTTTATTATATTATTTTATTTTATTACATTCTCATTTGTAATTTTTAGTTTATGTTATTTTTTTTTTCTATTTTATTTTATTTATTTAAATTAATAATTTGTATTGTGCTACACAGGGCATTGCGTTAAAACTCCCTTTAAAAGATCATTATTGATATAAAAAGACTGGTCAAGAATGAGAAATAAATCTCGAATTTGCAAAATTTAAACAAAAAGTAACAACAAGTTATCGACGCAAAAAATTATTAATTTAATAAGCATATAATTCATTCGCAATATTTCCATATAATTTTAATTCAATTTTCAAGCAAATTTAATTATTGTATAAATAAAGAAAATCATGTAAAAAACGAATATAGATTTGTTATAACATAGATATGCAAACGAACAATAAGAAATGCAACAAATGAATAATAAAATAAATGCTTATGATTATTTATAGTGTGAAAAAAAAGAAAAAAAATAAAATACAATAAATTAGGCAAATATTAAAAAACAATAAGAAATGCATTTCCATAACAATCCTTAAACCTACAAAATTGGAAAATAAAAAATCTATATGTATAACGAAAAATTGTTGGCAAATGAGCCTTAAAGTGATGTGTACAGTAAAGTAAAAAATAAAATTTGTTAAAAGAAATGTTAATAGATGAAGCATGTGATATAGAAACAAACAACACAAAAAAATATATACAATATATGAATGAAGCAAAGTGTAACGAAAATTGTTGTACCTAAAGTGTGTGGCAGACGCGCTAAACGGGCGCAAGCGACAAGTGTAAAGGAGTAATAATAATTACGTAAGATCTCTGTTATGTTATAGCTTTGAAGCCAATGGCTTTATTGTGATGAGAAATCACGACAGCAGGAGTGTACATGGTAACGGAAACTAATTATCGGCGACAATTTGCATTAATTTACTGTTTACTACATACATATATATACAATACTTACACATAATACATACATATATAAACAGTTATTATTTATTGCAATAACTCTTAGTCAATTCAGAAGAAATTCAACAATTCAAATAAAAAAATTGCTAAAACAAAAACCGAAACTGGCCAATTTCCTTCCCAAAGCATTAAATACAGTAACGCTCACATAAATAACCAGATGAACCAAATTTAGTAATTAAAAACAGCCATCAGCAACTTAGGTACCATTGAAATGATAAAATAATGTCAAACAAATAAATACATAAAATATTGAAATTAAATATTTAATAATAAATCACAAATACAAAACGAGATGTAAAAAGGGAGAAATATGTACGTTGTTATAATTCTAAAAAATTAAAAAATAAAATAAAAGAAGAACAATGCAAAACAAAACAAAACCGATAAAATGTTTTATAAATCGTTAAGTAAATTACTACAGCAAATGATAAATAAGTAAAAAAAGACAATTTAATTTATATACATACATACATATGTGTATGAAATAAGTAACGAATAAATAACATTGACAAATATAAAAGATAAACCATGAAATTATTATAATAAATTAATAGATAAGACAAAAAAGCAAAGCTGCTGCTATTGTTAGAGACCAAAAATATAATTCAATAAAGAACACAAAAAAACTAAATGCTCGTTTGTTTGGAAAGGAAGCCATTATGCCCTTAAGGTGAGTTTGGTATTTAAAATTTTAACATTTAAAACTGTAAATAAAAAACCAGCATATTGTTGATTAAATTAATTAGTTAAATTAATTTCGTTAAATCAGTTAAACTAAAGCAAATTGCAATGGAAGAAATTAAATTAAATTAAATTACAGTAAAATAAAATGATATAAAATTAAAATTAGTAAGGTAATACAAAATGAAATAATGCTAAAATGAAATAAAATAAGAATATAATACAAAATTAAAGAAGCTAAAACAAATAATTAATAAATTTCATTAAATAAAAATCTGGTAAATTAGCCAGGCACCTTTTTTGGAGGCCCTTCTGGAGATCGGCTACAGGCCCAAAGGACATAATATTTTTTGGAATGAATCGTTTGTTGTAAAACTACATTAAATTCTGTCTATTAAACTGTTTCTATTAATTTATAGAATAAAATTACTCTGAATAAAATTAACAAATAAAAGCATTTATTTTGTTTTGCAATTATAACCCTTTATTTGAAATGAAAAATATAATGATGAAGAAATTAAATTAAAAATATAAATTAAAATTATTTAATACCATAAAATAAATTACACATACATTTAATTAAAGAAAATAGATAAATTGAAAAAATTAAATTATATACATTCAAATTTAATAAATAAAAAAAATAATATAAGTTTAATTACATATAAATAAAACAAAAGTTAATTAGATAACGCTTATGACTGTATTTGAAAAACTGAACTTTACTTATTTAATTTTATATAAGATATGTCTTAAATATACTCACCTTTTCAATTTATTTATTTTATTTTATTTTATATGAAAAGTGACTCATTTACTTATTTTTTCTTCAATAATATTTATTTTGACATGATAAATATATAGTCCTTATAATGTAACAGCTAATTTATGCTATTATACATTTAACATTATTTATATATTTTTTAATATAAATTCATGCTTGTCTTTCAACTGCTTTCATACGTTAAATTATGAGAGATTATACAACTAAATCGATACTTAAATGTTATGATGAAAAGAAAGATGCGCAGCAAGTCGTTTTTTTCTTAAAACCCTATCTTTGTAACTCAACTAACTTAGTGTATAAAAGTTATACACACATACATACGAGTATGTCTGCTTATGTGTAAAACATAATTATGTAGTACATTTGGCTCTACTTAATAAATAAGCGGAAAATAATTATTTTAGTACATTATATACTTAAATTTTTTTATGTAAAACTACAATAAAATGTGAATGTTTGAACATTAGATGTCAGATGTACAAATACAGATATATTTGCAATATGCGTGTATGAACTGACATTTTCTAGGCTTAGCGATAATGTAAACGTAAACTTAATAAAAAGACTAATTTCATATACATTCCTTTGTATATAATTTAGGGCTTAGAGTATGTGAGGGCAGCGTGTTTCGGGTGTCGCACAACTAATTGATCGTGGCAGAAATTGTATGTGCTGCCATGTTGCTGTGAAACTGCAAATGAAAATAATACAAAAAAATACTAGTTTATTGCATTTATACTACATTTATATATTAATGCAAATATTACAGATATTCCTCCGCCAACTGTTGCTCCACATGCGGTTTAATCGGCGCATAATGCTTATCGGCAATCAGCGTGCTGCAATGTTTCTGCATATAGGCGAGCGTAAATAGCTCGTTCTCGTTGAATGAACGCAAACCGGGCATACGATGGCGTTGTGTTAATCGCAGCTTTTCATATGTCAAACCCTGATCTGTGCTTGCGCCAATAATGGGGTTGCCCGCATTGATTGCCTCGATAAATGTGCTCTGCGCACGTGCAGCAATTTTCGCCGCACTCAATGTATAGTGAAAACTTCTTAACGCATGCGCAGATAGCTCCTCCAGCTCTGTGGCATGACTATGTGTTTGCACTTCGCCTAATATACACTGCACATCCACTTTGGGCAGATCGAATCTCGCTGCGAGACTTTCATTTGTTAAAATCATATGCTCGGCTTTGTACTGTTCGACAAATGTGTAAATCGAATCGATTAGAACTTCCAAAATATCAGCGCCAATACGTGCGAAATTTACGGGGCTGCAAAATGGAGGATAAAAAATGAATAAGTCAAAAATAACATAACAAGAAATTTCACAAAAAATCCATAATAAAATGAAATCACAAAAAATTAATTGAATTAAAAAAATGTAATTAATAGATTTAAATAAAATATAATAAAATTATATACATTAAAATAAAATAATATAATACAAATGAAATAAAATAAAATAAAATAAACAATACAAAATCAATAATACAAAATAAAAAAATAATAAAATCATAAAGATTTAAATAATTCTTAATACAAGTTATATAAATTAAATAGAATTAAATTAAATTATAATAAAAACAATTTAATTGTAATTACTTATTATTAAAAAATAAAAAATAAATAAAACCAGCATATAAAATAAAAATTTAATAAAGAAAAATAAAATAATATAAAATAAAACAATAGCAAAAAGAATATATAATATGTCTAATCGAAAAAAATCAAAAAAAACGAGCTCAAAGTGTACAGTGTAATAGTGGACAGTCCACAGTTAAGCCTTAGATTTTTTATATATATTTTTTTTTTACTTACATCGAATATTTATAATTAAATTTAAAAAAAAATAAGCTAAAAAAAAAATAATTTATATGAAACTTATTAAATTATATACTAAATAGAGAAATATTTTGATAAAATAAAAAGTTAAAGTAAATAAAAAATTTAAATAAAATTAAAAAAACAGATGAATAAAACAAAATAGGACAAAATTGAATAAAGAGAAACAATATAAATCAAAATAATATAAAATAAAATAAAATTATTTTAAATAAAAATAAGTAAAATGGAGTAAAATAATGTGAGATGAAAATATAATAAAATAAAACAAATTATATTAAATTAAGTAAAATTAAATGAAATAAGATAAAACAAAATAATTTATAATATAACGTAATATAAAAAAGTTAAAATAAACTAAGACGAAATAAAATTAAAACACATATTGTTATAAAATTTTACAAAATTAAATTAGATTAAATAGAAAGAAAAAAATAAGATGAAATGAAGTAAAATAAAATAAAATTAAATTAAAAAATTAAACAAAAATGAGTTCTTTGCTATGAATTTTATATATTAGAATTCTCCTCTCGCAGTGTACGAAGACTACTGCTCCGAAACGGCCGACCGATTTTGATGAAATTTTGTATACCTGCGTAAAGGTTGATATTTATTTTTCAAATGGGGAAATGTACCAGGGACTGACTTATTCGAAAAACTCTTATTCGTAGTTCGATTCATTTAAAACTCGGTACATAGGTAGCTTTGTGCTTAATTTAACAGGAAGACTCTTCTTCTCTCCGGGAAGAAACCCAGTAACGGACTTTATTAAAAAATGTTTATGGTTCGATTTACTTGAAATTCAATATGCCACCTATGTTTGCTTAGTTTAGCAGAAATATCATCCGAAAAAAAATGTTTCTATGGTTAACATACAAAAATTTTCAGAAGTGGACCAAGTTCCACCAAGCAGATATTTGATTGGCTTGGTCCATTCCATAACCAGTTAGATGGCATCATTCGTTGACGTGAGCAGGAGCTTTGTTGGAAAGCACGCCCGTGCATATTAGGGATTCGTTTCCTTGCATTTAAGTGCGTAAAAGCTGAGCAGTTCAATAGCGTGTGCTATGACAATTGTTCGTATGGGCTGCTAGAGCTTTTTTTTTATCTGAAACCGCTTAGTTTAATTTAGGTAAGTTTATGAGAATCGCCCTTGTTCGCGTGTTAGCAGAACCTCTATGTTGTTTGTTCTTGCTTGCTGATCAAGCTCATTCAAATAATTCACATTCAGATTTTAACTACCTACATTTATTTTATTATCACTCCCAATGTATGGGAGTGACAGTCCTAACCCGCAAGGGAGGCGAGGCGAAGTTCGCTACGTCTACTAGTATATTTATAATTTTTTTTTTTTTTTTGCTTACATCGGATATCTGTAATCATAATAATTGGACTCCGCAACTCCTCTCGATATGATCAACATATTCAAAATATTCGAATATCTTATGGGCTGTAGTACATCTTGTGTATACATCTCAGAAACAATACTGCAGAGTAGCGAAAAAATGATTTTAATTAAAAATAGATGTCATTTCAAATTAAACTTTCATACACTCACGTATCCACAATGCTCATAGCTTTCAATTTAGCCTCCATGCGCGCTTTACGAAAACTCCAAATCGATTCCAAATGTTCAACAAAATATAAATTATTCAACAACAAACGTTGATAGTAATCTTTTATGTAAGATTTCTCATTGAGCGCCTCCTCGGGTATGCCAATTTGAAGGCGCATTGTGGTCAACTGAGAAAATTTATTTAAAAAAATATTAATTGAATTTATTAACTTATATTGTTATATATATATATATATATATATAAGTATAACATATATTTTAAGACTGCACTTTTAAATGCTTGCCTTATCCGTAATGTAGCTCTTCACACGCCTATCCATCCAAGCAGCTTGTTTGACCGAGACCTTCAGCTGATTCTGTAAGCTGTAATACATGAGACGCAGGAAAGCATCATTGCCTTGTGTTTTGCTGGGTTCATCGCTGACATCGGCATGTTTGTAATCTTGTTTGGCATAACGTTTGGAGTGTGGCTTAAAAAGTTGTAATTAAAAAATAAATAAATTAAAATTAAAATTAAAATAAAAATAAAAATTAATAGAAAAAATTTAAATTATTAAAAATTTATACTAATAAAAAATGATTTTAATAAAAAAATACTTATTATACTTACTTATATACAACAACTATTGGACCTTTTACAACAAATTTAAATTTTTCCTTTTATAATTAGTTTCTAGTACTCTTACAACTCACCTTTGTACGCTGTGTATTTTGTTGCTGCTGCAAAGCTTCCACAGCAAATGGCAGCCAATCGCGTACAATTTGCGAACAAACCATCCAACGCGGATATGTAGCAGTGTGCCCTTGAATAAATTGACATACAAAATCTTAAAATTAATAAATATAAATCTAAACAGAAATGCTTGCACATAACAACAGAAAAAGATTAACCAAAAATTAACACATATAACTAACTCACCATAAATGGCATGATCGAAATTCTCCATTAAATTACGGTATTCCCGCGACAAATGTGGCAAAAGATGACGCGCCAAAGACCAGATTATGAAATTGTTAATAGGTCTAAAATATTACATAATAAAATTAAATGACTTTAAGTCTTCTTTACAATACGCGAACATATATATATATATATGGGTATTAAGTTGAGTAATGCAATAAATAACCGCATGAGTTCACAAAGAAATAACAAAAATATATGAAATTTGAGATGCTAATAGAAGAAGGAAGAAGTAAAGATGGAAAAAAAATAAATAAATAATAAATATATTTAATATAAAACGTTTTTGTTAAAATCTTTGCTATTTCTATACAAACAATTCTATTGAATATGTGGGGGGGAAAAAGAGATATGATATATGTATATAATAACAGCCGAATTTCGTAGATCAATAAAAACTTCACAGTTTGCTTACGTAATCAGTGGTAATAATATTTATATACTTTTTAATATATTTATTAATTAATGCATACTTTTTATCGGAAGTAGAAACGACCGTGGACAGCTCACGAAAGACATTAACGTCACGCACTAAAACTTCGGTTTCATCGCTAATTTTGGTGCGACTGAAAATCGCTTGCAATGACTCCATTATTGGTAGCTAAAAATGTAAATAAAACAATAAATAATTTTTATTCAATATAAAAAATTTTACGCAACTACACATTTTATAAAAATAAGCTAAGAAATAAAATAAAAAAAGAACAAAAAAATTCAAAATTCGAGAAAACACAAAATCAAAATAAATTAAATAATTAATAATTAAACCGAAAATTAATTAAATAAAAATTGAGAATTTAGAAAAATTATTTAATTAACAATAAAATAAGAATTAAAAGACAAATAAGAAATTATATCGAATGAAATCAAATTAAACCTAAAACAATTAAACAAATTTAAGTTAATTAAAACATAACAAATTAAAATTATATTAAATCAATTAAAACAATTTAAAGTAAAAATAAAATAAAAAATTTTAAGTTAAAAAAAAAGGAAATATATTAAAAAATATAATATAAAATAAAACAACTAATAAATAACTATAAAAATAAAAAAATATAAATAAAAGTAAAATATATAATATTAAAACACATAAGAAAAGAAAGAAATAATCTAAAAAAATTAAAATTAATAACACTAAATTTTAATATAAAGCAAATTAGAATAAAATAAACAATATTAAATAAAATAAATTAAAATAAAAAATACTTAAGAACAATAAAAAATTATATAGGACGAAATAAAAACAAACAAAATTGAATTAAAATAAATTTTTTATAAATAAGTTATATGTAAAAAAAATAAATTAAAAAAACTTAAAAGGAAATTTCACAAAAAAATCTATAATAAAATGAAATCAAAAAAAATTAGTTAAAAAATTAAAATTAAATTAAATTAAATATATTTAAAAAGAATAATATTATGATATATAATACAAATGTAATAAAATAAAATAAAATAAAATAAAATAAAATAAATAGTAAAGATAAAATAATATAGATTTAAATAATACTTAATATAAATTTTATAACTTATATAGAACTAGAATAGAATTAAATTTAATTAAATTAAAATGAAAAATTAATAGTAATAACTTATTATTAAAAATTTTAATAAAGTAAGTTTAAAAAAATAAAAAATAAGTAAAAACAGCATATTAAATAAAAATTTAATAAAAGAAAATAAAACAATCATTAACAAGAATTAAAACAAAATAAAAGAAAATAATGTGTTAAGTAATGTAAAATCAAACTATTGTACTAGAATAAAGCTCTTCATAAAAACAAACATCAACAGTTTAGTAAGAACTGTAGCTCGCTCCATTTGCTGGAAAAACATCAAAACGCAAAAACACAAATTGCAGGAGGAGCTCGGCGGAAAATCGCTTCAACGGTTACAAAGCGTCAATTATAGATATATTTATGATCTTGATATATATATATGTAATGTAAAATAAAACAAAATAATTTAAAATAAAATAAAACAAAATAAAATAAATTATAATATAATTAAAAAAAAATTGAAAATTAATTTTAATATTACAATAACTTAAATAGAATTAAATAAAATTTAAAAATATTATATAAATTAAATAATAAATTTATATTATAAAAAAAGAATAAATTATTATTAAAAAAACAAATAAAATTGAGTAAAAAAAATTAGATAGTAAAAAACCAAAAAAAAATTCAAAAATTAAAAATTAAATAAAATTTAGCAAATTGAGGTAGTAATTAGAAGTTTTAGAGGCTTCAAAATGTATTTTTTTCTTAAATCTATTCTAAAACTATTCAAGTATGTGACTTCGAAATTTCAGTGGCCAATTCGACATATTTTAGAAGCTAGAGCAGCGTGTTTTAGTGGCCGATCGTCGAGCAGGTTCGAATGCTGGACCGAAAATTTTGAAGCACGTTTTCGTTTTTACAAAAATCGATATAAAAATCAAAGAATTCTAGCTTCAGTATGAATTTATCTTCTATTGGAACTAAAAAAGTTGGACAAAAGTATTATTTCACTTTTTTTTGCAGCATGAAGCGATTTTTTTTAAGGAAGTGGATTTCTTTTCTTTTTTAATTTTAAAAAACCTGGAATTCCAATAGAAGAAACTCTAATAAAATTTAAAAACAAATTGGTTCAACTGCTTCAGATTCAACGCACGAACATCATCACCGGCACCGTAGCACGAGTTCAGACTACAGCCGCTTCAAAAAACAGATTACGACATTAGAAACATTAGAAAATTCAAATATTTTTTATATTACAATATTATACTGAAACTTAAGTATAACAGATTATGACTGAAAATTTCGTTTAACGCAAAATTTCATCTCTTTCAAAAAAAATGCCAAAAATTTATTTTTTTCGAATTCTAAATGAGACTTAATGGGGCTTAATTTAATTAAAATATATTAAATTAAACAAAAAGAAAATGAAATAAAATAAAAATAAAATAAAATAAAATAAAATAAAATAAATATAAAATAAATTGAATAAATTAAATAAAATAGTACAAATAAAAAATTAATTGAAATCCTACAAAATAAAATGAATTAAAATAAAAAAAATAGTAAAATAAAACAAAATTAAATTAAATTATAGACCTAAAATGAAAGCAAAAATTAAACGAAATGCAACGAAATAAAATAAAGTAAACTACTGTTCTTTTTTTTTAACTTATTATGCTCTTAATCTTTTTCGTACTCACAGATGGCGCTATCGTTTTCATTTCGGCCAACGTTTTGATTTCATTCAGTTTACTCTCATCGGCTTCTTTTACCGAATCGATATGTGTAACGATACGTTTTTCATAATGAAAAATCTCATCGGCAAAAAGTTCAGCCTCGCGTGATACAATACCTTTAGAGAAAGCAGAAACACATAACTAACTATTGAACTTATTTTCTTGTTTGTTGTAAAATTTTTTTTTTTTTTTTTTTTTTTAAAGGTTTTACCACAAGTAAGGTGCTTACCCATATTAATAGCAAAATCACGAAGTAACAGTTTATAGCCACGTACTATCTAAAAGAATATTAGTATTTTGTGTATTAAAAAAGAAAAATATATATATATATTTATGACGGAAAAAACTTTCCTTTAAGGACAAACATTTAAAAAATCTGAATTTTCTATTTTTTGTAATATACTGCGTAATAACTATACGAGTAAAGTTAGCTAAGAAAAAAATTTTCAAAAACATACCTCATCATTTTGATCTATGCTATAGAAATAACGATCAGGTAAACCAATCTCGCCTTCATCTAAGGTTACAATATACTCGTGTGGCTTGTTGTAGCTGAAATATTAAGGGATCAATTTAAAATAGTAAACAAAGATTTAAATAAAATACCAAATACTAACCGGTTCTCTACGCTGATCTTATAATATGGAAAAATACCATAAATTGCCTGAAGATGCACTAAAGCCTTTTTGTATTCCCAACTTTGTAGGTGGAAAGAATCGCGAAATGCTTGCCAACCCTCTGAAAGTGAAGAAAGAAAGAAATGAAGTATAAAGAATTGTAAATTAAGTTTTTTTAATCATATTATCATATATCATTATTATCTAAATAACCAATAAAGTTCTTGAACAAAAAATCATGTGCATTAAAATAAATTTTGAAACGCAATGAGAATTACTGAAAGTCACTGATTATTTTTTACTTGTGTCATGAACGAGCGAAATAATATTTGATTTTGAGAATACAAGTTGCTGGTTTCAGTTGAAGTTTAAGCCAGTAAAAACTAGAGATTGCGGATTAGAACAATTTACTTATTGAAATTATAGTAAATTTATTCAGTGTAAAATTATTGGAGTTTAATAAATTTATTAAAAATATATTTATTATGTACGTAAATGTATGATTTGCGCTTTGTAAATGCTGAAGCGATTTTTCGACCGAGCTCCTCCTCCAATTTGTGGTTTTGCGTCTTGATGTTTTTCCCAACAAATGGAGGGCCCAACAGTTTATGCTAAGCCGCCTCTGAATGGTCGATTAGAAGCTTTTATTTCCAGTCAGCAATACAATCGGAGACCTCGCAGTATAGAAAATTTATAGTTTTTTGCGATTCTAGTCTGCCAAATGATCTTAAGCGAATAGCACTCAATACTCTGTAGTATGAACGATGACATCGTTCACCCCAATCGCTAACGCTGGGCTAATAAAGAGCATGATTAACTCTCGCCTTAGACGTGTTATCCATAATTATTTCGATAATCAGGTCTTTCGATTATGCTTCGAAGTTCACCAGCCAACAACAAAGCTGATTGGTCCGCAATACCTGTAGTGGTTCATTTATTTCAACTGATCATTGGCGTACGCCAATTTCGATGAACTACTATGACCGCTTCTACATGCCGCATTCCACCCGAAAGCATTGTGGGGTATTCCAACTGGTCAATAATTATGAAAAGAACACTTAATGTTCTGCAATCTTTCCTCTAGTGAAACCATACTTGGGAGACTCTCAGATTTCTCATAATCAGACGAGACGCCATCCCCGTGTGGGAATTTCAATCGGTATCGGCACTTTGTCCAACTTGAAGTTAGCGAGTTGTTTTAGCCAAATTTTTGCTCTGCATGCTTTAGTTGACAGAACCAAACAACCTTCTGTGCAACCATCAAGATCATTCATGAATCCAATAGCCAAAATTGGCGCTAACTGTTCTGTTAGTACTAATAACTGTCGAAAACTTTTGCTTGGTAGAGCTTCGTAATTACAACTCAAAATCCGGTGGTCGGTGTCCTCTCCCCACTATTTTTTGATTTTCATCTTTCGAAACACCCTGATTTCTTATGCCCATAAATGCTCGCTATTTGTGCCTCACTAGAATTTAATAAAAACTATTCCTCATACAAAAACCATCAGCCGTCCGGAGTCAGCTAAATATAAACTATAGGTCCCTCCATTTGTTGGGAAAATATCAAGACGCAAAATCACAAATTGGAGGAGGAGTTCGCCAAAAAATTGTGCATTCCAATCATTTTCGTATGAGGTCCAATGATCTCGACGTTACACATTGAGGAAGGAGAATTTACTCAAGAATAAATCTTGTGTTTTTCGGGGTGTTCACTTTGAGGGTTCGAAGAGCCTTTAGTTCATATCCGACATCCACTCGGAGCGGTGGACAATCCCTGCCGAAGGGCAACCTCAATTAGAAAATTTAACTTAATCTTTTATTTAAATCAATTTTCCATAGCTTTGATATGTTGATGGCGCCGGGATATGAACCCGAGCCTTCCGAATGTCAGAACGCAATGCTAACCACTCGGTTACGGCGGCCACCAACCCGTCACTTAGGAGTTTTATCTCAATTCACTTGTTCTCTCACGAAGATATTTACGCCAAATTCTTGAAAATGTTTATATAATTTAATTTTTATAAAAAAAAGCATAAGCTAAAGTAAGCATATTAGCACTAATTATGAATGAAACACATAAATAGTTGCATAATATTATTAAAATAATTAATTTTCCCAATAAAATGCAACCAGAGCACAGAAGAGACTTATTATTGTAATTACCACGTATATGCTAATACATACATACCATACATACATATTATATAATAATCATAAAAAATGAAAACATTCTTTTTATAAAGACTAAAAATAAGAAACGAAAAGAAACAAATTTAAAAAAAAAAAAAACAAAAAAAAATAAAAATAAAATTAAGAAAAATAAAAAATATAAAAAAAATATAAAAAAAAAAATTTTAAAAGTTAAAAAATGAAAAAAAAAAAATAAAAAATAAAAAATTAAAGTTCAAAAATCTTCGTCCAAAAAGTGAGAAATGGTTTTTATTGAATAATTAGCGCTTTGAATGTAAATAAAAATAAAAACAAAACTTTTCATAAGTGTTTGGCAACACTGACTCAGTTTTAACTCCGTTCATCCAAGACAGTATTCGACTCACAACATTCAAAATTTCTTTACCGGATTTTATCGTACAATTAACACATTCTGAGAGCATGTTAATTCCCCGTCGGATTTTTATAGTTTCATAATAATTGCTTGCCTTTGGCTGACAATTTAGAAACTACACTTAAATTGAGTTTAATTAAAGTGTTGAGATTTGTCAACTGGGATTTCCTGACCAGATATTCCAATTGAAATTTATACTAATAAATTTTTGATATAAAATTATACGACGCAACCGAAGAGGACGTCAGTTTCTACTTGCCTTCGACGAAGTTTGGCCGTTTTAGTTAAGTTCATTCTTTTTTGTGTCAACAGTTTTGAAATATTTGCAGAAATATGTTTAAGTTTGTGGTGAGTGTTTAAGGATACGAAAATTCAAAAAAAAAATGGAAAAAATTTTTTTTTATAAAAACAAAAAACATTGGAAAAGTTCTAGGTAGCAGATTACACAAAAAATTCATCAGCTTGTTTCAATGGTTTCTGGGAGTGTTTAATTTTTCTTGGAAGAGGACCAGAAACTGAGCTATTCGAAAATATCATTTGTATAGTTTGTTTCACTCGAAATTCAAAACGTAAGTGGACTAGCAGTAATTCTACTATTCTCTCCGTGATTTGAGCCTTGAACCCTGGTATTCTCAAAAACTTTAGTTATCATACGATTAGATAGAAATTCGGAACATCAGTGGTTTTTTACATAGATTCGAAAGACTACACTTCGATTTACTTGAAATTCATTACAAAAGTGGCTCTAAATTAAAAGAAAAGCCACACTTCCCACCGCGAGGTGAAGCAAGTGCTGACCTATTCGAAAAACTGTGTTTAAGCGGTTAAGCCACTCTAGAGGTTGAAAAATAGACTAATTTTAAACAATTTTTTGTAGGAATATGGGAAATGGAAAAGAATTTCTATTCAACCATTTCATTGAACATATATTGAAGTATAAAAAATATTATTTTGTTAGAAAATTGCGGTGATAAAGTTCATTATTTAATACATGTTTTTTTAAGGCGTCCACAGCAGAACCTATTTGTAAAAGGATGAGACCTAGAAGAGAAAAGCAAAAAAGTTTTGTGATCTACAAACCTTTTTTCTTTGGAAGAGCGTACGGCACATTTTTTTTTAGATTGATTTTTGACTAAAAAATACGCACTAAATAATTTAAAAAAATATATATTACGTGTATGCATTAACTCGTGCGGTGTTCTGTGAAAGGGCTCGACTAGTATTATTTCGCGTCGTGTTCATCTGTGGATATACTTGTATTCATTTCCAAGGTACTGTCATTTCGCGTCGTTTTGAGTATATGTCACTTGTGTTAGCGTGAGCAACAACAACAATTTGTTTGATTCATTTGAAAATGTCGAAATTGTATCAGATAAATGTTTTTGGGGGAGTTCTTCTTCATTACTTTACATGAAGAAAAGTGCCACCGAAGACCATCGTATTTCACTGGACGTTTATAGTGACCAAGCTTTAGCCGAACGAACGTGCCAAAAGAGGTTTGCACGGTTTAAAAGCAGCAATACCGACTTAGACGACGGACAGACAAAAAAATTTCAAGACGAAGGATTGGATACATTGCTCAACGCATACCAGGCGCAAGAAGCAACCGTTCCCAGATGATTAAAAAAATTTTTAACGATAAAGTCTTAATTTTCGAAAAATCCACACAAATTGCATACACCCATTTAATTGAAAAACGGCTATGTACTTCAAAAAAAAAATATATATATATATGGTAAGCTATCATCAAAATCTCAGATAAATCGGTGTAATTCCAAGTTTTCATTGTACCCAGGCAAATAAAGAGTTCAGCTATTTAAAACATTTTTTCACTATAAAAACAATTGTATTCTCTATTGGGTCATTTCTAGGACCCAAAGGTAACCTGTGAGCAAAACAAAAATGTGTCTTCCAAAATCCTAGAGTGGCTTTACCGCTTAAGGTGCGACTTACTTGAAATTCGCTACCTAATTGGATTTTGCTTAGGCAAGCCGGAGGCTTTTTTCTCCTCCGGTAAGTGGACTAGGGACCTAACTATTCGAATACAGTCGTGTATATGGATAGTCATAGTTGATCTAATGGAAAAAATATACATATTCTGATTCGGTTAAATTAAAATTTTGATTTGATTTGCTCAAATGGAACACTTTTGATTTCTGGAATTAAATCAAAGCCATGGAACCAAGCAAATCTCTTGTGTTTGTGATTTTATATTAATATTCCACACATTTCTTATAACAGTTACTCATCTGCGTTGCCACTTGTGCACAACTCTCGCTAGCGCGTCCAGACGTTAGCCTTGGCTATCAATACCGTCCCGGCTACAGCAGTTCAGCTGGCAACTTTCTGCAGACACCACACACCACAGGCGACAGCTACTTTAGCGCAGTGCCTGCCTTCACAAGTAGTAGCCTTGGTGGTGGCTATGGAGGTGCTGTTGGCAGCGGTGGAAGTGTTGGTATTGGTGGCGTTTCAACATCTACCTACCCCTCCTCCCCCTCGTCCTCGGCATACAACACAGGCTTTGGTGGCCTCTCCGGCAGTTTTGGTGGCACTGGAGTTTTCTCCGGCAGTGCAAACGCAGGCAATGGCTATCAGTCGGATTACAACTCTGGCAATGTGCATTACTCACACCAATCATCAAACTTTGTTGGGCGCGCACCAATCGTGAGTAAACACTTTTGGTTACACTCTGCGCCGGAGGATCATGATGAACAACAAATTGTGCGTTATATAAATGTGGGACAACCACGTAAGAACTATCATGTTGTCTTCATCAATACACCCTCATCGAATGTGAATAAGGCGAAAATTATTGCGAATATTGCGCCCGTCGAGGATAAGACGGCGATTTATGTTTTGGCCAAGAAATCGAATGCTTTGGATGTTACGGCTGAGGTGGCAACACCCACGCCAATTGTCAACAAGCCGGAAGTGTTCTTTGTTAAGTACAAAACAGCTGAGGAGGCGGTACATGCACAACATACCATACAGGGTGAGCAAGCTAAAAAAAATATATATATATATATTTTGAAAAGTAAATGAGTGAGAAGTGTGTTTTATGGAATTCATTTGCGATCCTTTCATTCCACAGCTCAATACGACGCTTTGGGTGGCTCTAGTGAAGTCTCCAATGAAGGTGCTATTCCTATATCTTCAGCGATTGGCAGTTTAGGGGGTTCACTTGGCGGTGGCGATGTTAATGCCGGAGACTCACATGCAGTACATAATGGTGCACCCATTTCAGTGGTGCCCAGTGATTCCAAGGTTGGCTCTAGTCAAAATTATTTACCACCAAATCATAAATAGGAAAATTGTGAAAGCTTTCCTTTTGAATTGTGTAAGCTCGATGAGAAAAACAAAGCTTTACTTGCACATGAACTGCTATTTTGTGTGAGAAAAGTGATTTTGCTTTTTGTTTCTTTATGTATTGTATTATAATAATTAATTATTTAAATTTAATAGTTAACCAATTGAATTTTTATATTTTTAAATAAAGAAATTGTTTTAAAAAAATTTGTATTTGTTTTTAATTGGAGCTTTTTTTTTTGATGGCCTTTAAACCCAGATTAAAATCAAATAAGCATCATTTAATGACACAAAGAAACTTTTTTTAAAGCTTTCTCAAAAAATCAAATCTCAAAAACAAGTAACCGGATGTCAATCACAGATATTCGAATATCTAACAAACCATTCAGTTCATTTAATTCTCAGTTTTATACGTTACTTTATAAATTTAAAAACTGGGAAAAATTAAATCTCAAACAAAAGTAATCGGTACCCGCATGGGTAACCGAATTTCAGAGCCCAAACAGACCGTTGAAACCCGGTTAAAAGAGATGGAACATTTTCCGGAAACCTCCTCATTGTTATTTCAAAGAACATCGCCGAATAGATCTTCTTCTTTTTAAGTGGCGCAGGTATTGCCGATAGCCGAGTGTATTACAGACTCGGCTGTGGTTTTCTTCATTTATGTCGTTTAACGAAAATTGAAGGCAATAAGTGAGTCAGATCTCTGTTCTTATATCTTACAAATACGCATAAAATGTTCGCAATACCTCTAGAAAGCTCCCAGTACCGACATATTAGATGGACCATATAGCAGGATGAAAATTATTAGCGATCTAAATCTAAATTCATCATTCACCTAACTTTTCAGCATTAGATTGAAGAAATCAACCGATAGAGAGCCTCAGCCGTATAAGTCTTGCTGGAATGCTAATTTCGTTCTCTATTTCTTCCACTATCAATGCGTCTCATTTCCTCGTCAGCCTACATCGAGCACCAATAATTTTATTGACTTGAAATGCCGTGCGCTGCCACAGTCTGAGTTGTTGATGACTGCTTTCAGTAGGAGTGCAAGTCGAGCAGAAGTGTTAAATGTAAAGTGTCAGTTGACATTGCAGTTTATCGATATCCAACCTTCCATGTGTTTGCCGACGGGCCTTTTCAACTGACAGAGGTGAGCGTGCACCATGACTGTTAGTAGTTAGTCGTGGACTATATCAGGACCTCGTAAGCTACATACAGTTAGAGCACTGTACACTTCTGCTGATACAAATTTTATGAATTCTCTTACACGTATGTTAGAATCTGCTATTACAACAGCCATATATCGAACTTCGATGAAATCAATCAGACTTCATATCTTCCGGAAATACATGGAATTTGTCATGAAAATTGTATTTTCCTAGGGTTGTGCTAAAGATAGATCGGGCTTTGAAATCATAAAGCACGAGTGGTGAGGTGGAACAGTGTGGATTGTGGTAAGCCGTTCGTTCACCGTTAGTACTAATACCAGGCGGTGGAGTCTGTTTTCTAATAAAAGTCCAACACCAAATTTTCGCTTATTCACATGACTATGTGCCACAATCTGGGTCTTTAACTCAACCTTTTTCTTCTTTTTTTTCTTTCTTTTTCACTTCGATTACGTCTCTGGAGCAGCACCGATCATCAACCACGACGAGCATATCAGAAATCCAATATTCAGCGTTTATACGCTCATATCGTGGTTTGACTGTGTTTTTCAGTAGCATATTTAAGACCTGCACAATTACGATTAGCTGGAAAGAAACATACGTTTGGTCGTACCCAAAATTTAATGTATGTTAAATTTCCAAGAATGAAAGAATTTTAAACTATTCTTACAATGAGTTTCTTGTATATAAATGCTTAACCGAGGGCAATTAGAAAAATTAAATTTCTATAACTTTCGAAAGTTGGTCGGACCAGGATGTGAACTCCGACCTAACAAGTGTTAGTACGCAATGCTATCTAGTTGGCTATTTCGGCCGCCACTGTACTTCAAAGTGATCCCCTTAATTCGAATAGTGAAGTACTTAAATCCAAGATTCCCGTAATATTCCAGTGGCTCTTTGCAGAAAGTATTTGTTCTCCACAGATTATGTTGAATTAACTCTCAGCCGCACAAACTTCAACAAAAGTAATGCATATATTGTTTCCGGCTTATAACTTTCCTGCAAGTATTGCTCATGGATGATTTTCGGACGAATTTTTGTAACAAAAGCCCTCCGCTGTGCGAGGGCTGTATGAGATTATCTTTCGTTTTCGATGATTTTAAGTGCCGATATTTATATGAATTTGCGTATGTAGAAAACAAGACGGTGCGCTCTAAGATCCTGTTGACAAATCTTTGATCCAGTGCCGTACATCTGCAGAAATCAGTTGTATGGTGTTATAAGCCACAGAGTGAGCAGATCAGGATGATCACGACATAATATTAATGCAGTGTAAATGTTGATCTGCGTATTAAGTTTGGCTGATATATCTCCCAAACTGAGAGGTTAGTCGGGTAAGCATGGCTAAATTAGCTAACCTCATCGTTCTGACCCAATCGGTATAATCCGTGGATCTTTCACTAGCCCTTTCGGTACTTACTTACTTCAGGAACAACCCAATCGCTTGGTACAGTCGGTAATTCGTACAATCATAGATCGGCTTCGCACCACTCTGCCTCTATTGAATAATGGACAAGCTCAGAGATACTGAAACTCTTATTAAAATAATTCAAACATAATTCAGATATTTTATTTCACATTTTATTAGCTAAGTAGTAATCGTTTTCTTCTTCTTCTTCTTCCTCCTCTTCTTTTCCCTCGTTTTGGTTAAGAGCCTAAAAAATGTGGAAACAATAACAACAAAGTGTAATTTCTACAACACACAACTCAAGGTCTATAAAACGACATAAAAATTCCAAAATCAAATTAAATATTTAAACAAAATATTAAAATCGCCAAATAAAGTTTTAACTAATGACAAAAGTATAAAAATAAAACAACAAGCAATGAACTCGCGCCGACTATGCCAATGAAAAAAAAAAAAAAATGAAACGAAAAAAAAAACAAAAATAGCCAAATAAAAAAATGAAATTTCAGGTGATTAACGCAAAGCGAGGCGCCAAATTTATTAGCAATTAATTGTTGACTCGAATGACGCGCTCCAAGATAGGCTCCGCCAAATAGGCGTATGGATGTGTAATTATTCGCCACTAAAAATTCATAACGATACAAGAAAGCCAATAATATAAAATAGATGTAATAAACGTAGACATATATATTTGAAAAATGCAAAATTAAATAAATTAAATAAAATATTTGCGGCTGATATTTCGAGGCTTCACGAAACACACATGTGCACATACATGTATACGAAATGCAATTTTAATATTCATCGAAATAACAAACGATCAGCGAGAACTCGAGCAAACAAAGATGCTATCTCGAAACCGTTAACACTCCAGCATACACACACACACACACACAAACACATTTAATATTAAAATAGCTACACTCCAATGAACTCACTGATCTTTATCTACTGTTATCCGAGTAGAGAAGATCACAAATACAAACAAAACCATAAAAAAATAATCATATCCAATAAAAATATAAACATGACGTTCGGTTGAGGAAGGCGCCGCCGTTGAAAGTTATAATAATAATAAAATTAATAGTTATATTTTATTGCAAAAGTAGAATGATGAAGTTATATTTCAATACAAACCAGTCCTCATATGGCAAAAACAAAAAAAAAACAACAACAACAACGAGATCAGCAGAATACCAGCACACACAGCGCTCACAGTGGTGATCATCAAGATCATCACGATCGTCCAACAGTGCAAAATTGGCAATAAAAGACGAAGATCTCTCTAATATTGTCAGCGCTAATAAAAAATTACATAAATTTTCTTTATCATTCGCCCGCTTAACGCAGAGGGGGGTGACACGCAGCGTTTGTTGGCTCACGAGCAACTGTGCAGAATGAAAACGCCGATGATCGCTGAACATTATGAATTCCTAATTGATCATTATCATTTGTTCATTTTGACAGTCGTTAATAAAATGCGACTAATATCGGCATTAACTATTTGTGTGATCTTAATTCCGAAAATAAAAGCTAACTAACTAACGTGCCAAAAAGATTGAAGAAGTCTTTGTATAGAGTGCAATAATAGAAGCTCAGCTAATGCAAGTGACACACAACAGGAAAACTATGTTCCAATGAAAACAAAACTTCGAAGGAGAGATCTTCCTTTTGATGGCATGGGATCTCCAACTCCCTACGATGGAAGAAATTTTTGAAGAGATGTCATCGATTCTGCAGGACTTTGATACTTCACATGCGATGGTGAAAAAATGGGCTCGGCTATTTCAGCAAGGAAGCGAGACCTGTGAAGATAAATCCCGCCCGTGTCGGACAGCGGCGATCGTTACAGATTAGCAAAAAAATGAGTCCAAACAGGAGTCGATGCAGTGGATAAAAAAAATCGAAAAGTCCACAAAAAAATTAAAAAGTGGAAAAGTCTGTTTCGAAGATTATGGCTACCATTTTCTGGGATAGCGAGGGGGGAATATTATTAATTGGTTACTTGCTAAAAGAAACGGCCAGTATGATGCTAATCTGTTGAGTCAGGCGCGTGTGGAAGTCATAAAGAAGAGACGCGAGACGCAAGATCTTGCACTCGAAATATCGAATTCTCGGATTGGTGTCAACATTTCCTTAAATGATGAGCCCATCATCTTCTGTGATTGAAATGATCTCTTTGAAAACCTGAAGGATTGAAAAAAATGATAAAGCTCATGGAATTAAATCGGTTGGATAATTTAACGGTTTCAACTTTTTGGACCTGATAAAAAGTTTTCAGGAGTTACTTTTCTAAATGATATTATCTGGAACGTAGCTATGATGGAGCTGGACTACTTCAATCCCCGAATAAAAATTTGAGACCTTTTAACCTTCAATGGCTGAAGCACATTCAACAAAGAAATTTCTACAAAGTATCTGTAACACATTAGAGACCCAGGCTTTGTTGTGTGGTTTGAAAACTGTTTTCGATATTTTAATTTTTTTATCACA